AACATTTTAGCACTGCAATTAAAATCACTGTCACTGGTACTAGATAGGGCTCCTTTAGCCCCCTGAATTTATTTTTCTCCAACAGATTAAAACAGTCCATTAGGGGATATTTCATGTGCCAAACTGTCAGTCGGTTTCTGTGACTGTCACACACATCCTCCCACCACCCGCCCTTCCTAGCGGCTGCTAAATCACATTAACATGCTATCAGATCATCACTCTCAGATTTTTGTATTTCAGCAGCTGTTACTCTCTTCTTATTAGTGAGTCTGCAGAGAAAATCTTTCAGGCAAAATGGAACCAAACCCTGTGGTTATTGTGACTGGAAGTGTGCAGGACTGAAAGTGCCCAAGGGGGGCCTGCAGGTACGATGCAGAGATCTTTCAGAAGAGACATTCGTTATTCAAAGTTGCTGCCCATGGAGGAAAGGAAAAAAAAAAGCTCATCTCTACTCCAAAAATGCAATTGTTGTCATTTTTTCCTATTTTTACAATCAAAATTAATCACAGGACAGTGTGAGAGCCTTGTTCAGCCTCACATATTTTTCATCCTGTCCCAATACAGTCAGTCAACCCAGATATACACCTTTAAGCCGGGCAGCACAGTGCACTGTCAGAAGGTGTTGAGGACAAGGTTTGTCACTGACCACCTCCCATACTAATAATGCAACCTTGGGTCAGCTCCTGTAACAGTTAATTCTTCAGAAGAGTTACATAAGCATAAAATGGGAACAACAAATAGCACTGCTGTTGTATTATCCTGGAGATGAACAACGTTAGTGTGCTTCAGTGATGGGCCCATTGGACTGGCAGCTGGACACTTGGTCTCTATGCTGCATTCCCTCACATTATATGACCTGAGATGAGTGTCCTAAGTTGTCTGTGCCTTTTTTTTTTTTTTTGCTTAGCTGCAAAGTGAAGATAATGATACTTATTTATCCCTGTAACCTAATTTACAATGATGCTTACTGAAAAGATGGTAAACACAATTACTACTGCATACTCTTTTACTCTGTTAAGAATACCTGAGCTTGCCAACCACTGACCAACTTGATTAGTAAATCTTCAGAACATTTTAATAGTACAAAATAAGCACGAAGGAATAAACGTTGTAGGCATAAGGAATAAACATTGTATTTTTTTAAATATTAAATCACTGTGTTACAATTTTTGTGTTCTAAAAAGAACTGCATCATGGAGTATCTTACATGATATTTAAACCTTTCTCAACAAGTTGTGTGTTTCTTACAGCTTTCCCAGTAGGTCAATAACTTCCTGACCTTAAAATCCATTTAGCAAACATTTTCTCTAATGAAACAACCTCTCAGACTCATCTCAGCATCTTTACTGTCTACTTGCTACAACTACAATTGCAAATAGCAGCAGCCATCACTGCTATGTGCTGAAAAAAGCAAAGGATGGAATGGTCTCTTTATCACTGTGTTGAGTTGAACAAAGACAGATTATCTGGTGATTAGGGGTTTGGAATATTAATTAAACATCAAGGCTCTCAAATTAGAATCCCAGATGTTTGATCATTATGGTAATTCCCTGTTAACAGCATTCCCTGAAAGGCCTGAGAAACATTCCTCTAATTCTCCAGTGGTGAAAGGTTGAGGACCCTTAGGCTATCAAGCGCTGAGCTCCTCTGCATCAATTATACAAGACATGGCCTTTTTAGCAAAATGGAGCCATCTTATTTAGTGAGCCTTCTGTTAAGCAAGCTCTCAAACAGCTGCCTAGGTAGATAAATGCTTTCCTTACTATCATGTGCCTTTCCAAAACAAAGCACACTTCCTTGCACAAGCTGCTTGTTCTGAATCAAGTCTCAGCAGCAACTACCTTTTCAGGGAGGGGTAGCACCAGCAGCTGGGCCTGCTGCATCTCCAGGAAAGCTGCCCCATCAACAGCACTGTCAGTGTGTCTTGGGCTCCTGCTCTGGCCTGTTTAGGCATAGGAGTCAGACCATCTTCCTTGGCCCTCACCCACCTCTGGCTGAACTGTCCCCACAACCGTTGCTACCTGTGTAGCCTTATCCTGAAAAGGTGAGAATCTGGAATGAGTTCAAGTCATGCTCAGGAAATTATATGGATTGTTGCTAGTTTCCTTTCTATATTACTCACACATCTGTATTACTACATTTTACAAAGACAACTTCTCCTGAACCTGCAAACTAATCTGGGAACAATGTCTAGTGTTCGCAGAGCCCACTGACAAGAATTCAGATGGTTCTTTTAACAGCAGAAGTACTGTTTGACATAGTCAGCTCAGGAAGCGTTGTTTGGAGATCTATGCTAAGAGCCAGCCTGCTTACTACCATGGCACACTGCCCTCATGTATGTAACCTTCTCAGTGCACTCAGCTCTTTGCAGTTTGTCATAAATTATCTAGCTAGGAATAATGATAGCAATACCAAAACTCCTTTCACCTGGCAGTGATGTACCCCTGGTATTTCTTCCCCTGGTAGGTGCTCCTGCTAACATATGAATAAACCACAACTCCATACATATGCTCAGAGCAATCTACAGACTTTTCATCTACCAATAGAGTCAGAGAAGGTAACATGAGATCCAGACAGGATGGAACAAATTATCCAAGGTTCAAGGCCTCAGGTTATTCACTTACAAGCTTAGTCAAATTCGAGTGGAATCTGAAAGGAATTTCAAGTGGAAAGGGGATGTAGTTCAGTGTTTTTCATTCTTTACTAGATGTTAATTTTGCACAGTCTGATTGAGGATTTTCAGCCTTTGCAGCGTGCAGCTTCAGAGCAGATATACTGCTGATCTGGACCAGTTGGGGAAGATTCTTTCTCCCATTGTGTCACAAGGAACTTATGTGCCATCTTAGACAGTGCTCTATAGAGGGCTACGTTCACGTAGTGAAAGCCTCTTTTCAAGCATCCCTTAGTACCCACGTATGGAGTAGGTGCCCACACATTGCTTGCAAAAAATGGAAAATATCTTAACTTTGACAAAACCCATACAATCCTCCCACAGCTTTTATGAAAAAAACTTACTATCTGTGTACTAACAAAATATAAATCCGTACTCAAAAATATTTGCACTATTCGCAAGGTTCCTCCATATTCCAACCAGGTACCCTGAAGGTCTCCATGCCCTGTTCCAGTCAACTGCACGTGTTGCTGCAAGTACTCTCTTTATGGGTCCAGTTTTCTATAAATCTCTTCCTTGGTCTCACAGAGGTTTTGCAAAACAGATTCAACCACAATCACACAGAGCTGATACTGTTCATTAAGCTCTGGCCTCAACACTAGCTATTTCCACCTACCCATCAGTTTTCCCAATGTACATTCTACTGTAATTCCATAACGCTGTTCAGGAAATACTTAGACATACTTCATTAGTCAAATTGATGGAAGAAAAGAAGGGTAACCTAGAATATGGACAACTACGATCTCAACAAAGTACACGGAGTCTTGAACATTAACAGCTCTGTTCTTCACAGTCGAAAGCATGTCCAGCTTTTCCTGGATCTTGCTGGGTCTCACATTAATACAGAGTGTACAGAGGAACAGTTCTTAAATCTCTTGCTGCCAGAAGCTTTGAGTTTTCAACGGCTGTCAACAGCCTAATAAAACTGGGCTAAATCTATCATTAATTTATAGAGCACTACAAAGCACTGGAAATGAAGGGGAAACTATCTTTTTGATAGCACTGTACACCTCAAAAAACCCCAAAAAACCAAAAAGCTGATGTACCAAAATCAAACTGGGTAGTTAGATGTAACTGGAAATGGCAAAACTTCCAGACAGCAAGTTCTCCATTCTTCCACATTGAAGGACCTTGCATGTAGGGCTGCTTGATTTCTGCAGGCTGTAGCTAAGCGGTCTTGGGCACCCTGACGGTCTGCTATTACTACCAATCATTGTAAATTAGCTGCTTTGTCCTTTTGACCAGTCAGTACTAGTTGGAGAATACCAAAAGAGGCAATCGATCCTATGACGCTGCTCATGAAGAAGAGACAGTATTAGTTAAATCTCTTCCTCAGCTGCCCCTTCTACCTAACTCTCAAGTCATTGTCATAATAGATTATGGAAGCTTGCTCTTACTTAATATCAACCTAATGAGAATATTTATTCACAATTTAGCACAAAATGAGATTTTAGCACTGCTCAGCAGTGTTTTTTCTGTCTTGTCTGACACCTCTTAGAGAAAAAAAGATGCTGCTTTGGATGATGGAATAAAAGACAAGGCTGGCACTGGGTTCCAGGATACCATTCCCTGCAGTCAGTATCAGGTCATGTACAGTGAGACCAGTCCCAGCAGTGAAACACTATACTGAAATATTCCAGGAGCTTACTCAGAAACAACACAGACTATGGACAAAATATTCCCAAATGACATTTACTTAACCTGGATCAAGGTTATAAATTGTGTTCAAAAATTATCACAAATCATTTCACTCAGATAGCTGTAGCCCCAGAAAATTTTCAGGTATGGCTTATGAACTAAGATGCTTGATGCAGGTTTGGCCTTATTAACAATTAACTGGCAAATGAAGAGTCATTTAAATAATTGCCTACAGCATAGTCCCAAGAAGCCTGTAATTCTGAATTTTGTTCTATACAGTGGGGAACAAATAGCATTTCTAATAGCAAAGTACAACTTTTACATTTCTTAAGAAATGTGGCAGCACATACTACTTTGAATTGTTGATTTTGGCATTTAAAGCAGGTGTCAGTATCAGTTATGATTAAATGTGCAAGAATGCACATTTCTAAATCAGACATCTAAAGCGAAGATGAGCAGCAAAGAGCCTTATTGTACAGGCTGTAAGATTTCCTCTCATCTCCTGACCACCTACATCTCTTTATACCCTCCTGGGAGAGCAAAACAGGACCATCTAAACAAACATTAAGACATAAAATATATGAATACAAGACAACTATGTATTTTTGTAGGTTGAATAAAATTAAAAGATGAAAGTAGGGGAGATCTTAGGGAGTAACCTATGAAAACATTCCACCTTAATACATCATACCTTCTACTGCTAATTCTTTCCATCTTTCTTTGTTTGCTTGAATGATCTTCATCAAGTTGTCCTTAAAGCTCATTAGGTCTACACTTGTTAGAGAATTTTCTGTGTGAGTCCCTCCATCACTTGTACTTTTAAAACCGGGTCGTCTGTGTGCTTCAGCATTGCTTACTGCTCCCAAACTGCTTTGGCTGCAGAAGGACAAAAACTTAAATTGTGAACACAATCAGGCAATTTTAATAATTAACAAACAATTTTAATAATTAACAAACAGTTAATCTGAATCACATTCCTTAGGACCTACATGCAATCACTAACTCAATAATTTTCACCAAAGAATGCCTAAGATACAAGACATTTCTTCAACTCATAAAGCTGTAACCTGGGACCGATTCTTACTGACCTTTTCCAGGGAATTCTTGAAAAAAAAATGTGACAGCTGAAAATACATTACTTCTAAGTTGGTTCTTGGAAGAATGTTTCCCTAGACATTTGGGAGCATTTGGAGCTTTTCTTAGCTGTGTTTTTGAACAGTGAATGGTATCTTGGGGGCTCACAGGAAAGACATCTGATTGTTATTTGTTGACCCATTTAAAAAAAGCAAGACACAAAAGTATATGACAGGTAAGTTTAGCTTCAGCTGAAAATTCTCTTCAAGGTACATGCCTTCAAGTGTAGTCACAGCAGGATTTAGTACAGTGGCCTTAAAATCTACATAACAGCTACCACAGCTACCTTACACATAAGGTAAAGCAGAAGTCAAATTGATTGGCATGAAGTCTAGTTGGAGGCCTGTAACCAGTGGTGTCCCCCAGGGGTCGATACTTGGTCCAATTTTGTTTAATATATTCATTAATGACCCGGATGAGGGGACAGAGTGTATCCTCAGCAAGTTCGCTGATGATACCAAACTGAGAGGGGTGGCTGACTCTCCAGAGGGCTGCGCTGCCATCCAGCGTGACCTGGACAGGCTGGAGAGCTGGGCAGAGAGGAACTTAATGAGGTTCAACATAAGCAAGTGCAGGGTCCTGCACCTGGGGAGGAAGAATGCCAGGCACCAGTATAGGTTAGGGGTGGACCTGCTGGGAAGTAGCTCTGAGGAGAAGGATTTGGGGGTCCTGGTAGATAGTAAATTGTCAATGAGCCAGCAGTGTGCCCTTGCTGCCAAAAAGGCCAATGGAATCCTGAGCTGCATAGGGAAGAGTGTGTCCAGTAGGTCGAAGGAGGTCATTCTCCCCCTCTACTCGGCACTGGTGAGGCCACGGCCACAACTGGAATATTGTGTCCAATTTTGGGCTCCACAGTTCAAGAGGGACAGGGAACTGCTGGAGAGAGTCCAGCGAAGGGCAACCAAGATGATTGAGGGATTGGAGCATCTCCCTTATGAGGAAAGGCTGAGAGAGCTGGGACTCTCTAGCCTGGAGAAGAGAAGGCTGAGGGGAGACCTTATTACTACTTACAAATATCTAAAGGGTGGGTTGAAGGAGGATGGAGCCACACTATTCTCGGTGGTTCCCAGTGACAGGACGAGGGGCAATGGGTGCAAGTTGGAACATAGGAAGTTCCGTTCCAACACACGGAAAAACTTCTTTACAGTTCGGGTGACAGAGCACTGGCACAGGCTGCCCAGGGAGGGTGTGGAGTCTCCTTCTCTGGAGATTTTCAAAGACCGCCTGGATGCAGTCCTGAGTAATGTGCTCTAGGCAATCCTGCTTTAGCAGTGGAGCTGGACTAGATGATCTCTAGAGGTCCCTTCCAACTCTGAAAATTCTGTGATTCTGTGATTATTCATATGTGAATATGCAGGTACATGTAAAGGTCGGAAAAAAAGAATGAACCCTTCTTTTTTTCTTAGGATTGAAAAGTCTGACCTATTTCTGGACTTGTACAGGTAATCATGTCATACTAGGTTTTGTTTACTCAATTATGCTGCATACTTTACCTCACTGGTACCAAAACCAGATGTTAATATGCATACAAATGGATTTCCATTAAGCAGGAAATATAGTTGCAGTGAACCACGAGAACTGCACAGGAAGAGTTAACTGTAGTTTCCATATGCTCCAGAGATGTTGAATGAGATAGAGTGGAAAGAATAGGCTATAATTTTAATGTTTTCCAGGCAGCACAGTGGATGTCACACCATATACTCATGGTCTCCACCCAGTAGTGTTTGTTCAATTCTGCTGGCTCAGACATTTCTGTATCATGCTATAGGCTCTCCACTCTCTTTCTAAGTGTAGCTCTTGATTCCATACTAAGAAAATATCACTTCATCTTCCACCTCACATGAGGAAGCTTTGCTGGATCATAAGCCTTTGTTTGTGTACCAAACATCAACCAAAAATGAAGCCTGGAGTTACTAATCATTTGCAACTGTTAATCATTCATTTGTGAAGAAGTGAGTAGGTAAACAAATTTCTTATCAATTATGCCTTAGTTCAGCACTGTTTGCCAAAACACTAAGAACACTGTCACAAATACCTACATCTATTACTTCTAGTAACGAAAACCCATGTAAACTCATGATCAGAAAAGACTTAGCTTCATCATTTTGCTATTAAAATGTAACTAATGGACAGCAAACGAAAAATTGCCCTGCATAGTTATCATATTAGTAGCCTCGGTTAAAACTCAAATTACAGTTTTAAATTGAAAAAGAAAGTGGTAGCAGAGGCAATATTTGTAAAACCAGCATCTGATTACTGAACAGTGCTTTCAGCATGGAGTCACTCAGACAACATTGTCTGTCATAGCTAGTTTGTTTTATAAACAACTTCTATTATGGTGCAAAAATCAAGAGCTTGATGGGCAACCCCCCCTGCATCTCACTTATACTGTCTTTAGATCTCTCAAGTAGAATATAAGTGGAATCAATTTTGTCTCAAGTGTATATATCTAATAATACTAAAATGGAAAGGGGAAGAAGGAAATTGACCTACAGCATAATAAAAAACAGAAAAAAAACTGAAATGACCTTCCCCACCTCCACTTCCAATTGTCTCTCAGAAAGCAAAGAATGACTTTTGGTACTGTCAACTAAAATTATACTGAAAATGGCTTAATATAAGAGAACTACGAACTTCAATAATCTATTGTAAAGATTACAACCAAAGAAAAAAAATGTTATTAGATATACTGTAGAAAACTGAGTTGATGTTTTATACATGTGTATTCTGCTCGTTATTGTGTTTTTGCCTTTTTAGATGCAGGACCATCCACAGTTAATGAAGTAATAGCATATTGCAAATACAATGTAGCACCACAGGATGGCAATACTGTACAGCTAGTTATGTTACCTTCCGAACTGTTAAAATAATTGTGGTAACTCCGAGAATGACATTATTATGTTACATTATGTTAGTTCAATAACTAAACAGTGTATTAATACCTGGGTGTCCCAAACGCAGGACTTTCAGATTTTGACGCTTCCTCTATAAGAGGCATAACAATTTTCTCCATTGAGTCGGTAAGAAGAGAAAATGTTGGTTCTACTATGAAATCAATGAAACCTAAAGAAGAAAAAGACAGAAAATCAGACTTTACATTATCACAGCTCTCAAATCTAGAAATAAATACTTGATATTGGGGTGATTTTCTGACTGTAGTTCCGATTCAATATACTAGATATGACTAGTATAATCTTGAGGAAAAAAGCACAACTAAAACCAAAAACACCTGAAGCTGTACAGATACAACTAGACATTAATAATTATAGCTTTTCATGCCTTTTCCTTGTTAATTTTATGCACTGCAGAACACACCTACCATTTGAAATGAGTATTAATTATTGAATAGAAGGGAAGCTACTGTTGAGCCAAGGGGCTAGAAGTCACACTGTCTCTTTTACCATTCAGATCTTCTTGCCAAGGAGTTAATATTTCAAACTGCTGTTTATTATTCTGTGGAGGTAAAGTGTTATTTCACAGTGTGTAGGAGTGTTCTGTCAAATCAGTGAAGAGAACAAGTAATATCCTTAGGAGACAGCATTCATCCCACAGTTCTGAGATGTCAGCTCTGAACAATGTCTTTTACATTTTAAAGTGCTCATCAAGGTATGGAATGACACAGTGAGAGAATGAAGCATTATTCTCTGCTGAGCACTTAACAGAAAAAAAAAAATAATGCTAACACATGAGCTAGCAATGGATTTCCAGATGTCTTCATACTCTAACCATGCAACACAGCACAAAGGTGAGCAACAGTGCTTCAGCCTAGGATCCAGCTTCCCTCCTGCAGTAGGTATGACACTCAAGCACGTTGCCTTTCAAGTCCCAGTGAAATGGAATAAAGGACGTTTTGAGTGACAAGATCAGGCAGGATGACATGCTCCGGTTCACGGATAAGACACTGTCACCTATAGAATCTCTCCCTGAGTACTGTGTTCACTCACATAAAGGTACAGCAGTTGGTAGGTCATACTGCTTTACTCAGTATGCTTCTGGGGTATCTCCTGTAACTAGCCCGTGATCTTTACCAATTTTTATTTCCTTATTATTACTGATGGAAACGGGGATAGAGGGAGCCAAGACCCGCATTTCTGAAAACAGCCATTGTTCTGAAGTTTGGCCACTGTTGACCAAAATGCAATTAGGATTGACAGAAACAGAATGCAGTGGTCCTTGTCAACCCAAGGAGACTTGACCCTGTGTAGTCTGACCCTGCTAGACTGACAGTCTTAACTGCTGTCCAGAGATCTGATGCATGAACTAGCTTTAAGTTGCCATGCATCTACAGAACAGTACCAGGCTCTCAGATTGTAGTAGAGACAGATCTGCGAGTGCTTGAGCAAGAGTCAATCTGTCTGAGGACACGATCTACCAAACTCTAAAGTGTTTACAGTAAAAGTTGGGCTCATGTCCAGTACTTCGGTTAATCCCTCTCCTAACCCTCCTTGGCATCATGTATGTGGAAATAACTTCATGTTCTTTTGAAACCAGTGCATTTCTGCTGTAAGAGTATATGAGTTTGGTAAACAGATAAGTGCAAAAAAATATCTTCTGTATGAATGTATGAAGAAATACCTCTGCATTTGGAACATTTACAATTCAAAATGAGTTTAAGAAATGTCCACATGATTTTACATGCTCCTACACAAACAAGAAAAAGAAAAACAGAACTTGTCATTACCTATTTGGGACTGAGCTACCAAAGTAGACTTGCGGTCACAGAGTGGGGAAAACTGAAGCCCTAAAGCAGCCTCCTTGTCGCCCTGCAAACAACAAAGTTTAATATTATAAGCACGTATTTGATAAAGGGACAGAGAGACAAAAGAATCTGAACAGTTTTGGTATTTATTCAACAGATTACTTTGTTCATATATATTCCTAAAAAAAACAAGCCACAGGCAAAAAACCTCTCATTATTTATCTTTACATTTCCAGGAAAAGTAAAAGTCAAAATTCTAACTTACATTCGATAATTTTTAGAAAAGGGAACTTACTGCAAGCAAGTTCTCCTGAAGAGCAAGGCATATGCTAATGAGAGTTAACATATATGAAGTCCTTCAATATTCCCAGTTTAGTCCTGTCGATCCCAGATATAATGCGATTGGAGATACGTAGACATTTTTGTAACAGTACGCCAAATGCTAAGTGTTTCCTTCTATTACATTGGCTTATCCAACGAGTAAAATGTCTTTGATGGGTTTACACAGATCAAGGGCATGATCTGAACTGAACTCATTTGCAGTAGCAGGCGTGTCTCTGCTGCTGAAGCCATAAAAAAGCACATGCTCAATTTCTTTCCTTGTGCAAACCTAGTTCTGAAAATATTTCAATGCTTAACACGTTAAAAGAGGTGGGGGTTTTGTTGCAACAGTCTTAACAGACAGGCGGGGTTTATCTCCATTTTCAGCATCGTAGACCAACTGACTTGCAAAAGCTCAAAAAGAAAGTCTAATGGTGTAAAAAATCCTGAAAAGACATCTTTCAAAGGAGGCTATAATTTGTATGGCTGGACAAACCCGGCCCCAGGAGCGCTGATGTTATAGACAGAGGAAAACTTAGTCTTTCAAGCAAAATGGCTCTGTGTATTGCATTAGTCATGGAGAGCGCTGTTTCATGTTCATTCAGTGGGGAGTGATACCTGAACACACTATTTTCCCAAAAATCTCATCAGAAGCTGATGGATGAAGGGGGCAGTATCAACCTTCCTTAGGGTTTTTATCATATGTCATTGAACTAGATTTGGGAAAAGTTTAGAACTATAATACCAATAAAACCACTTCAACCACAGGAACAGATGTAGCTCGCAGACTGTGTTTCATGTGGAAGTGGAGAATTTTATCACTATGGCCTTTAAATTTTACACCCAAGTATTCATAATTTGACTTCAGAGTGTAGAAGAACACATGAACACTTACTACTAGGAGCAGTGCTACTGGTGTGTCCATATAAATGCAGGAGCCGGATTGTGATATAACATAAACTGTGGTAGTTCTAACTATTTCAGCCATTGTTGAATACAGGATTTCTAAAGCAGTATTAATTTTGTAAAAACGAGAAAATTCCACACTAGCAAAGAATAAGTTTGCATTTTTTTTATGTTTTCAGGTAGCTCGTTACCCTAATTATGAATTACTTTGCAATTAAAATAATATATAATACTTAAATGTCATATAAATCTAAGTCTATTGTAAACTGTAATAATGGACACAACATTGATATTTAAATTGATCATTAGAATTTAATGAGATTTAAAATTAAAAAAATAAAAAAACTCACTGAACAAATTCTCTTTTTCTGCTTTTGGATCTATTCAGAATGAGAGCAGAATGCTAATTGAACTGTGATACTTCTTTGCGTGACTTGAACTATATATTTCTTTATTTTTAAGGTTTTGAGATGGGTGGGTGTATTTCTATTTTAAACAAGTAGCTCATATTTTTCTTGGCATTATAACACACTTTCTGTAGTTGCTGCTTTTAAACTTAAAGCGTTGTTTGGCTTTTTCCCTGAAGTTAACACTGGCACATATTTTAACTGTTAGCTGCAGTTAACAAAGTTTTTTGTCTAGGTGAATGTTCATTTTTTGCTGGTGCTCACTACTTTGAAAGCTGTCTGTGAAAGCATTGGTTTTTTGCATCAGCAGTTTCAGGCTCTGCTGCTTTTTCCTTTAAGGCAGTAGAAGTAGTTGAATTACTATTTTTAAAGAAAAGAAGAGGAGGAATTAGTGGGGTTTGTATACATTTGGACTACTTCATCTTGGCTGACGTAGATTTGGAAATCCCAGAGATTTCCACCACACATGCTCAGATCAACAGAACAGAGGACACACAACCAAGCTAGTGCATCGAGGAAGCAGGAGACCAACTGTGTCTTCACTGCTTCGTGCATTCACGTATGTGCAGTTACTTCATCTCTCATTAAATGGGCTGGAACTACTCCACACACACTGTTTTTAGTAGTACATATAAATAGGGATTCAGTTCCTTGCACACTCCTCTACAGCCTGAAAGACTTCTACAACTTATACTGCTCAGCTGCAGAAATGCACATATGATGATTTGATTCCATTGTTAAATACCTTCTCAAGTCTTTGAGTAGCTTATTTGGGATCCAGTTACTTCTTCTAAAACATTAGCTGATCCTATGCACTCAATGACCAGTATAGTACTGTTTATTGCTAAAGCTACATCCACTTGACCGGACACATTGCCTCACTGTCCCATGGGCTCTGTCTAGTCTGTCTCTCTGCATCTAAAATGTTTTTACAGTTGGTCATTTCTGACCTTTGCAAGTAATGTATATCTGGGGTAATCTGTTCCTCCTTTTTCCTCTGAAGTTCAAAATCCTCATCATTTCCATTTACAGAAGCAGACAGAAACTCATGCCTCTACTCAGTATTTCCACAAAACTTAGTCCATTCAATATTTAGATTAAGGCACAAGCTCTCCAATCTGTCTCCCCAGTGCAAAGCCCAGAGTCAAGGATGTCCTGATGCTCCCTACTGTGAATTTGTACAAAGAACCTCTAGGAACCAAGGAAGAACATTCTAGGGCAGATAGGCCTAACAACCTCATGCTTTAACATACTGACTTTTTTATTCTCTGACCCTTTTTTCCAGTGTGACCCAACTGATCCCACCTGGAATATTGTGTCCAGCTCTGGAGCCCTCAACGTAAGAAGGACATGGCCCTGTTGGAGCAGGTCCAGAGGAGGGCCATGAAGATGATCAGAGGGCTGGAGTACCTTTCCTATGAAGAAAGGCTGACAGTTAGGGTTGTTCAGCCTGGAGAAGAGAAGGCTCCAGGGAGACCTTATAGCAGCCTTCTAGTATCTGAAGGGGGCCTACAAGAAAGCTAGAGAGGGACTTTTTACAAGGGCAAGGGGTAATGGCTTCAAAATAGAAGAGAGAATATTTAGACTAGATATGAGGAAGAAATTTTTCACTATGAGGGTGGTGAGGCACCGGAACAAATTGCCCAGGGAAGTTGTGGAGGCCCCATCCCTGGAGGTGTTTAAGGTCAGGTTGGATGGGGCTTTGAGCAACCTGGTCTAGTGGAAGGTGTCCCTGCCCATGGCAGGCAGGTTAGAACAAGATGATCTTTAAGGTCCCTTCCAACCTAAACCATTCTATGATTCTCTGATTTGAAAATGTCAGCATATAGCAAAATAATGATAATCAAGATGAGCAAGGCATACACTGTTCCATTATCTGTATTAACCATTTTTAAAACCTGTGTGTAACTGGAGAAACTGTGTAATACCTCAACTGGATTTTGGCCATCAATTGTACTTCAGTAACTGTTATGTTAAAAATGTGCATCATCACAGATATTAATTACAGGGAGAGTATTCCCCCTTTGGAGAAAATGTGTTTTTCACCTTCTGAGGTGAGTAAAAAAATGGCAGCAGGTACATCAACACCTACTGGGCTTCTCTTTGAATTCCCTATCTCACAGAAACTAAAAGACTTTCACAAAGGTGTGTCTTCATTTTTGTTTTAGATATATGGCCACAGTGTTAACAGGATGATACTGTCCAACTTCTGGTTTTGGATCAGGCTGTTATGGAAGCAAAACCTTCAGATATATGTGTCATATGCATGGCAAGCACTGGCAAGGAAAAGACACAGGAGGGCTTTCTGAAGTGTGCAATGGAGACAACTTTTTGCCTTCTTTGCTGAACATGAATTCTTTCTATTTTCAAGTCCCTCATCCTACCCTGCTGGTGCTTCTTTTTAACTCAAAGCATATATAAATCTCTGTCTACAGAATGAAAACAGCTTGACAAGTTATATTATTATTGAAAGAAAAAAATGCTACAACACTCAGAATCCTGATATCAGCTGAAATAGATACAGAGCTATAACAATTTCATCTTATTCACACACATAAAAGTTGAATTAATGTCAGTGGTATGTATGAAGAGTAAGGAATATATACTACTGACTTTGCTTGTCAATCACAACCAACAGCATTGTTCCTGGTAGACTTATGAAAAGATTTGTGTTACCACTGCTTCTTGAACTAGACTTATTAAAAGACTTTAAAAATGGCACCTGTCGAAAAAATTCTTCCATCAGGGCCATGGTCCACCGGTAGTGCAGTTCCCAGGATTTTGCTGGATGGCTTATGTCTGCTGCATGTAGAATCAAAGACATGGCTTTGGCTTTGTCTACCCTGTCAATTCAAGGACATGCTCCAATTATCTCAAAACAAAAGCAACTATTTAAATTCTTTTCTTGTACATGAGCTCATTGAAATACTACAGATAATGAACAGAATGGAAAATAACCTACCCCTCTGTCTGCTGTAGAGTATGTCGCATCGTTTTAATTTGTTGAAAATGGCCCGACATATCTGTAGACAAGACCATCTCAATGACCAAGCTACGCAACTCCCTAAGAATAATTAAAAGCAAAATGACTGATTACAATTCATTTATTCTATGTATGGTACATTTGTTTAAGCAGTACTTGTTAATTTATAACTTTCTAAACAACATCATGGGGTTTATTACGTTTTTAAAAGCATTTAAATAAATTATTAACAACTTGAATGTTGTATCCTAAAGGGATTCTGTGAAAGCAATGTACTTCATAAAACACACTCTGCAATCATTATTTCAGAGTCACACTGTTTTGTAATTCCTCTTTTCTAGTGTATAAACTAAAAATACATGCAGTTCTGTCACCCATATTAAGGCTTTCCTTATTTTTCCAGCAGTAGAGTATTCAAAAAGCCAGTCGGTCTCTCGGCTTACCACCACACAAGAGGAAATATTTGTGTCTCTTATTACCACCCTTATATTAATGCAGAGCAGGCATAACACTAAACCTAGGAAGAAGGCTGTGGAAACACTCAGAAGAGCAAGAAATATCACATCTGAAACACTATCAACGTTATAACAATATATGTACATTACAATAAACTACCCTTCATCTCAAAAATACCTTAATGACTATTTCATTAATCAGAACAAGTTTGGGATTTATAATCTATCTATATCTTGGTATTATGGTCAGAAATGTTGGCTTGTCCATCAGCATTCTCTTAAATAAATAAAAAAATAGTAAAATATTTTTCATGTAAGAAAGTGTATTAATTCTCATTGCACATGAAAGTACATTAATTTTGTCAACAATAATTACTGATTTAGAAAATTCTGTTTCCTTGATGTAGAAGAATTGTATATGGACCATGTAGGAGTCTACTGGGTCTTTATTTACATGCTTTTTAAATGGCCTAGGAGGATTTACGTGCAAGTGTTGCTTGTATGCATATCAGGGACAATTCACCACATAAAATGTTTGATCACGTAGCATATATCTTCATGAGCACACCCCCAGTCAATTACAACACTAGAATCCTACTTTAGTCATTCTCGCTGATTTTTCATATTGTATTAATACCTTTGACTTACTTAATAATGCAGGTTTTTTTCAAATGATTATGTTTTAAAGAGGTAAATTGCAGTTTTCTTTACGGCTGCTAGAATAGTTTGTTATAAAAACTATCAAGACGGAGCCAAATTAACTGTTATAAAAACTATCAAGACTGAGCCAAATTAATTGCATATTTAAGCTGATACTCCTCATTGATTTCTGTGTATTTATTCCTGATTTGCTTTGATGTAGTTGTACAAAGACTTAGTCCTCTCACTTCTACTCAATAATATGCAGCCATAGCAACTTGTGTTTAGAAAATGTCTTACCTTATCTGACCTCATAATAAGATACTAATTAATTTGCATCCCAACTGTTCCTCCTCCACATTGCTTTGAAACTGTACCCTTCAAATGCAGCCAAACCCATTGAAAAAAAAAAAAAAAACCTCAACCAACAAAACAGAACAGCTAACATGGCATGAAAACGGAGGGCTCTGCATTGTTAAACCCTGTTGTTCATAAGACTGAAATAATTATCACTTCCCATGTCTATGGGAGATTTTCCTAGGAACTTTCCATGTCTGAACTTTTAAAGCCAATCAGAAATCAACCCTACTACACAAGACACGCAGAGAAGCAAAATGCTGCTTCCAGTTTACACTGCCATGGCAGCAGACAAACCCTAATTGTTACCTCCTCCATCTGAATGAGGATCAAACAATGCAGCATGGTCCTCACGCACTTCTGAAGATTTCAGGCCACTAAAAAGCTGTTTAACAGCAAAGGAGAGGCTCTCCTCCTACAGTCTGCAGTTGTTTCCTGCCTGTGCCCCCATCCATCATCAATAGAGGGATGGAAAATTAAGAAATGATAGGGAAACATGAAATAGAACTCTACGAGAGCCACGAATACTCAGTCTACCGCCACTGCACAGAAGATTACTCTTGGACTTACGCCATTCCCAAATAGTGTCACAGGGAAAAAAGATCATCTCAACGTCCATATTGGAGGGGACCTCAGACAGTCTCACAGAAATCTCTGCCCACTTCATTAAGCAGTCCACAGCTACAGGCATCGGGATAATACAGTTAGCATTGCTCATGCTACCATGGCAAAAAGATACGCAGGTGTTGTCGTCTTTAGTTCTATGACGGGAAGTGGCAAAAGTATTCTTGTACAGCGCATAGCATTTTTTTGGGGCCCACAACTGGAAGATTACTGGTTTTGTGTATACAATCTCAATTTTTAAGTAAACCGTCATGTCCTGTGCCGTCATCATTCCTTAACCCTCCCATATCCATATGTCCTAGGATAGAGTACTGTAATAAAATAGATGCAAGATGATGTGAAAAAATGACATGAATAATGCTGTAATAAACAAGAGACAGGGAGTGGCACATGAATTTCTTGGAAAAGTAGTTAACTGATAAACAGAAACCAGCTTTACCCGGATTTGTCCATGACAAAGACATTTAGTCAGCTGGAAACTAACGAAAAAAATGCAGGAACAGGCTAAGATGAGCAAAAGCCAGTTGGGAACTGAAGACTTAAGGTTCATCTTGCGAGTTACAGACATCTTGCTTTCCTCAGACAGAAGACTCCCAAGGGAATTTGTGAAAGAAAAGCTGTTCATTATGCATTGTACATAATGCATATTATTTTATTAGTCTTTTTTATATAATCGGGTAATATAACATTGTATGCCTTATGACTGGAATGCTTTGAGAGACTAATACCACCTGACTCTTGACGTAACACATAGGATGCTAGAACACCAGAAGCCTGGTAAATCAAAGGAGAAAGAGGGACAAAAAGGGATCCCTCTTTATTTATTTAAGGGCGCTAAGTGAGAGAAACAGGACAATACGGAAGACTGGAATATATTTTCAGAGTTGAGAAAATAGTGAGAAATGACTATGAATGTCACAGGCGTTCTCCACAAAGGACATCCTCATCAGAATGCTGGCAGTGTTTCCCTGCTCAGACCCAAACCCTATGTTTTAAACTTAATTGAAGCTGACAGTTTATTAGTGCATTTATCTTCTTAACGTTAACAAGTAGAAAAGAAAATGTAAAACTATAGAGTCATTCTCAGTCATTTTGCTTCATCTTGCTGAAATAATTAGCAGAACTGCAGTTTAAATAGGCAGGGGTATTAAACTTTAAAAAAATGAAATCGCTGCAACTCAAGAAAATAGATCTGACAGCAGTCAAGAAATTAATCAGTGCCAAGAAGTACATTAAAAAGTTGAACAAATTATCATTTCAATTTACTGCCAATTAGATTCAGCACAAACTTCAAAACCGTTAGTCTAATAGCATGAATTTCAGTACAGATCCAAGAAGTTCTCTCTAGTAATAATTAGAAAATTGAAGAGCCTCTTTTAAGTGGCTAACAGATCTGTCATTGCATCACTGAACAACTGTATCTGATGACAGGGTAACGGGTATTTTTGGGTATTAGAAACGAATAGCAGGAAACCAACATTTCCATGACTGACCCTCTAAATTAAGTATCAGACTTTAACAGGTTGTGTAGGTTTTCAGACTGGCACTTTGGAAGTTACCATTTTGTTTGAAAGTACAGACTGTACTTGCCTAGCTAAGCAACAAAACATGGAACTGAGTGTCCTCGTTTAAGTTGCTTGAGCTTATTAGTCAGTTCATATATCTCTTCTAAGTTGTACTGAATAGCCCCAACAAAAGACCACAAATTCTACTTTCTCTGTTTGCTAGATCCCACCAACTTCAAACTGGTTGCGTGTAATAGCGGACTGGATCTGTGCCACCACTGTATACAAACAAAATTCGCAAAATGGTAATAAAATCCTCCAGGAAATCCAAATTGGGTAAGTGAGAGAAGACTGAAAAGCAAGTGCAAACACACCTCAAAGACTGAGCAACTTCCAAAGGAACGTGGTAGTTTATCACAGGTTCAAAAAACATTAAATACAAGAGAAGTTAGAGCAAAGGGTCCATAATATAAAGAGAAAGAACTGTGGTAAGACCAGACTGAGCAATCTCTGCAGAGAAGGGTGTACTTCAGAAATGTGAAGACTAGCTATCACATTCCTCCCTTTATTCTGCTGCAGTTCACCAAAGCAACATGTATAAACATCACACACTTGGAAACCATAGGCTCCTCTTTCCATCGGGGAATATTCTCTTTCACTGGAGTTTCCATCCTATCACTCTTTTCCCCAGTGACATAACAAAAGGGAACAAACAACTGGGATGCACTTTACTAGCTGGCAGCCAGATTTCTGTTAGCTGGAGCAACTGCACGTCACTGCAAGGATTTCCAAACTATACTCATTTACGGCGGTCTCCAGTGATGAAGAGCCAAGATTGGGGAAGCACATAAATGCCTTCAAGCCATCCTTGATCCAGTCCTGAACTGAAATTCAGCTGAAGAAGATCTGCCCCTTTCTACCTGGAAGCATTCTCTGTCAGGACACAATATGAAGCAACAGCACTTCAAAAAAACATACTTAAGGCAACAAGTCTGAAGATTTGAAAATCATTACCTCTCTACAATGATGGTTTTAAAAGACAGAATACCAGCCTCTGATGGCTGTCTACTGGCATAGTCACTTTCTCCATACTCAATAGCTAAGACAAGCAAAAATAGGGTCAGAGAAACTTATCAGGCCCAAAACTATCAGGCCCAAAATAGTTCCAAGCAGAGCAAGGCTGATTTATGTTGGCAATGAAAATCTAGGTGCATGTTACAATTATTGCTGAAGTTTACAGTTTACTTCCAGACATCTTTCTCCAGAACTAAATTTACAACACAAACTTTATGATAACTAAATCCAAATGAGTATCCTCTGAGAAGAAATCTTTTATAAGAATGAAAAAATGCATGCCTCCTGTCTTACTTTGTATTAAATAACAAATTAAAAATACTTTAATATTAAGTGTTTTGGAGTAGCTACAGAAAAATAATGAATTGAAAACCAAAAGGGTCAGCAGACTTACATTCAAGAAACACTTTAAGGGTGTTCTGATCATGTAGATAAGTAAAATCATGTAAATCTACTGTGTAAAACAGTCCTTCATCTGTAAACATACACCACACCAAAATCTGATCTGACATTCATGTACTGCTTCGTAAAAGTATAGTTTTGTGGAAATATAAATAAAGCAGAGTATAGCTTTGTTACTCATGGTAGCATCATCCACAGTGGGAGACTCCCCTGGAAGCCGAACATCTCTTTCTGACTTCACAGTCCACCTATTTAAAAGTTATTTTTAGGATCTCTGAATAATAGCTATGTTTACAGAAACACATAGAAGACATATTTTAAGTGCTATATGTAGCAATCGAAGATATACAAAGATAACATGTCCTTTCAAATAATGGAGAAAGTCTTATCTCTAACATTTGTTCATTTTGGTTTTACAGATCTTAGTATTTGTGACATATCAATTATGATCCTGACTCTTTCAGCTGCTTGAATTTTCTTCAGGAATTATGCTAAAATTAAGAAGAAGAAGAAAAGAGAGATTTCTGTAGTGCTTTACTTGATTATTTTTGGACTCTCAAGATAATTCATTTTTTAATGCTTAACCAACATGTGACTGTGCTGTGCTATGTTACACAGCAGAAATCCCAGAGGCATTAGTGCTCAGAGTGTGACTCTGCACCAAGATTTTAACCCAGTTAGATGAAGGTAACCTAGCTCAAGACGGGCAGCACTGTAAGTTTTCCTAGCCAGCTATCTCACCTGAGACACTGGCCTCACAGTCCAACACTGTGCCTCATAAATGCACAACCTCACTTGGAAAATTATATGGAGTCTCCCAAACAGTACGTCTTTGCACCACAGCAGCCTTCCCTAAGCTCTAAATATCCATTACTCCTTCCAGTGCCAAAGTTTCTTCCTGTAATTTGAGCTCTTAAAATAGACTCCACATGGAAGGCCTGGTGTTTTTTATTATTTTTAACTACTGGAATTAAGTTTGAATATCACAGTAAGTCTTACCTCCAGTCATCTTTGGTTAAATTTGCCAGGATGTTCATCTCTTCTTCTTGCATTAGTCTATAAGCAGCACTTACATGATGATTTTCAAGAACAGAACGATCATTGTACAATATTGCAACATCTGACCTAGTGTTAAAAAAAGAGGCAGAATTTGCAATAGCATCCTGATAATGGCACTGGGGAAAATAGGATTGTAGAGCAACAGAAATGCTCTAACTAGGCTACTGGAGTACTCTTTGGTGACGCAACTATTTAAAATGCAATGCATCCACCAGCAGAGGGGGCTCCACACATAGCCTGGGTATTAAGAAGTTACTCCCCCTGTTCGACAGACATGTGCTTTTGTCCATGTCACTCATAATTAGAATGAGCTGTAAATAATAAAATATTAAAAACTTCAACTTCATATATTTTTAAGTAAATGCCATTTTTTGTCAGAAAAACAGCCAAAACTTGAGCCTCATAAGAAAGGAAATGAAATTTGATTCCATTTGATTCCACGCTGAAATTTGATTCCATTCAAGTTCTCCCTAAAGCCAGACTCTTACCATAACATTTGCACCCTCAACAGTATCTTTCCCCTCTTAATTAAAGACTAACCTACAATACCAAAATTACATATAGATTTTCAAAAATTTTGATGTGATGGATTTATCATACTTAGCTTCAAACTTCACTAATTCTTGGGGAATTTGTTTCCCCAAGACCTGATTTGACTTGCTAAGCAAACTTGGGTCTCCCCTCTCTGCTACACTTCTTTTCTTATAAAACTATTCCTGAGTATTTCAATTTGGTCAATTGAAAAGTCTGTACTAGAAGAAAGGTGTGATGACTTAGCAGCACATTTTACTATGATATTAATAAGGTAAATTCAACCTCTTGTTCTGTTGAGCAATAGCATATATTCAGTTTAACCACCCACATGTACGGTATGATTCCAAAGAATCTAAAAAAATTAAAATTTGATTGGAAACTTTATTTAGAGGGAACAAACCATAACCTACCGAAATAATGAATAAGTTTACATCTATAAGCCTACTAAAATCATGGGAAAATCTGTGATTTGCCACTCACAAATGTTTATGAAGCACACTTCGACGCACATAGCTACTTATGGCTAGTTTTAAACAGCTCTAAGATTTGCTATGACTATGACAGCCATTTCGTCAGCTTTTCTCAGGCAAAAGAAGCCTGGAATCACAGCCCTGGGATGCCACATCAGGGCCAAGTTCCACTAGGAGGGAAGAATGAGCTCCATCACAAAACAAATACCTGTTTGCAAGTATGTCCAAGTAAAATTCAAAGGCTAACAGCTTAATTCATTTTCCACTTTTGCAATACTTCAGAGCAAAATATTAAGGACAAAAATAGAAAAGTCATATAAACTTGGAACAACAAACTGCAGTTTATTTTTAGCCAGACTGTGCTGAGGGAAAAAAGAATTATGCCTTTATTGCAACTGCAGATCTAGAATTTGTTCATTATTGTAGGGCGCATGTCGGGGCAAAAGTATGTTACGGATTTAATTTAAATGTAACCATTGGGCACTTTATCTTCATAGGTGAGTGCGAGGATGCTTCTGTTCAAAGCAGTAGTATTTCTAGCACAGAAATGTTGTGTTAGAACATGCCAGTGGTTTGCTCCTTTTGTTTTTTTCAAGAACATGTGAAGCAGACTCCTCAACTGAAGATACTAAAAACAAAGTAAAGCCTAGTGTGAGAGAACAATAAGATCCTTTGTACTAGGCTAAGTATCAGGTGTACCATTTATCACCCAGAAATGGATTAGTCACTGTTTGATACGCTGAAAAATTTTAAGGGAGAGAGGTCTACGCTGTTGTTCTGGACCAGAGGCTACGATGACACACTGTGCCTGCATGAGAATACAGTTAGCCTGACTTTCAAACTGGATTTCTTTCTAGATTTCTTTCTTGTAACTATTGCAGATAGTTACAAAATATGCTGTCCTGTCAAAATATGCTAGGAGAGGACTCTTGGTAAGGATTTCTAAAGCTGTACTTGAAGGTTTCTCCCTCTGTACTAGGACCCTTTAAGTTTAATACACAATTTGAAACAAAATGTAGCACTGAAGTAAGTGCAGACACATTGCTGATAGTGAAGGGCTATTTTTCTGGGAACACTGTGGAAGAAATAAAACATTGAGTCGAAAGTATCTGAATTTAAACGAGCAAATAGAGGGGTTAGGGTTTTTCAAGTCTATGCTCTGAATCTTTTTGATACCTCTCTTGACATATCAGCTCCAAAATATAATTATTTCAAACACTATGGAGCTAACTCCTTACTTTTCCATGCTGTCTTTGTTCATGTGAGCAGTCCCATTAACTGTGCAGAGGTCAAGGAATCAATTTGTAAAATCAGGAATGACCTGGCTACTTCCTGGCTGTACCAGTAAGAGGTATGACAGAGGTCAGACCAATGAATAGCAAATTCCAGATATGACACTTAAAAGACCACTTTGCTTACCTTGTCTGAATATGAAAATTGTTTGTGGTCCCAGTATGTTCATAATCGTGGACGGCAGCTGCAAAGATCATTGCTAAAATTTCCAGTTCTGTGAGCCAGTGCTGGTAAACGAAAAACAAATCTTAGTCATATTTTCTATAATAGCCTAATTAAGATTAAATGCTACAGTACTGGAAATGTTTTGCATTACCTTCAACTTAAGTAAACTTTATTCTTGTCTTATGCCAGGTAACTATATACCCATAACACTTCAGAATTATACAGTAAAATAACTCCTTGTACTTGTAATGGTTTCTCTAAGACCAAGTTAACATCCTTATGGTCACTAGCAAAGTAAATACTGGCAGCCAAAAATATTATAAGTTATAAAGATAATTACATGGTATACTTTGTAGCTGATTTGAGTAGGAAGCATCTAATCTGCTAGCCCATACATGGCACTTGCCAAATTATGGTATATTCACCTAAAAACTTGATATGACGTTAAGGTTATAATTTGTCTTTTAGTGAACAACATATACAGTTCATAATAACATATATACAGTTCATAATAATAGCATTAACTGTATTTTACCAGTGTACATAGCACTAAAACTAGGCCCATGGGAGATTTTGCTGCTCTAAATTTTATCATACTTTGTAATAATGCAAAAAAAGAGTGCATAAGGCTAGTATGCAGTTACACAGAACAAAAGGTAATACAGGTCACGTATACAAAATAATGCAGACCCCAGAGTTTTGTGCATTTTTATACCTCTTGCTAACTGAGGCTGTTCTGTATTGCTCGGTTTGTAAAATAAGCTCTTTGATTTTATTTTTCAAGTTGTATTTCTTGAATGATAAATCATCCTTGAGGAGAAAATTTACTCCATCTAAAAATGGGGGCAGAAAAATCATATGATAATTAACCCCCGCAGTCATAGGACTGATTAAGTCAAATGCCAGTCAAGCATTTCCACACATATTTCAGATTTTTTTTAGTGTAGAAATAAGCTTTTGTACTAAAGGTTCAAAGAATGATCTCATCCTTATGCACCCATATATGCACATACATGTGTATGAATGGATATAAGATGTATAAGCTGCCAGAAGTAGTATAAGCTGCCAATAGTAGTACTTCTTTCAAAGAAGAAGAAAGGAAACAGTCAAGATTCAAAAGTCATGTGAGAATAATGAAATAGGTCATTCAGCAACAAAATAAGACTGCTGAGGAACAACAAGTACTGGTTGTTGGTGAAGCAGTATAGATTAAAAAAGGTCACAAGAGAGGAATGAGAATGTACTGTAAGCAGTTCTAAAAATGGAAACGATGACCTTCATCGTATTGTGTGTCACAAGAAACCAGGCCATGACTGGTCCTGGCTTTCACAGTGTTTTCAACCTACCAAACAGAATAGAAACAGAAATTATTAGTAATTAAAGTTAAACATAAACTTTTTCTTTAAGATGCCTTTTCAAAGATCAGCTTTTTTAGTAACCAAAATAGTTGCTAGACGATGCATTTATAAGTAGAAGAGCATTCCTTGCAAACAATATCTATGGGCTACACAGAAACTTCATATGGTACGATATGAGAGCAAGTATTCTGGAGACTGTAGCTGTGCTGTCAAAATTCAGATCAGTATTCAAATCAGAGAATCGGAGAACTACTTTAGCTAAAGGTTTTCTAAAGAAGTAGAAGAAAGCTCTTTGAGAGTCAGTTAACAAGTGTTTTCCTCAATGGGAGAAGGAAAAGCAGGTATCTGGAGGTCTGCAAGACTGCAAAGAGCTGGAACTTAATTCCCGCCTGGAAGATACTATGCCAGGCAGGTGTAACACCTATTGGAAAAGATCTCTTTTATTGAGAGATGTTTTCGAGTATTATAAATTGCTTATAAGTAAATAGATGCATTTCAACTTTTCATGAACTCTGGTTCAAACTATTTTTTTAAACAATGATGGATTAAAAAATGAGTAAGAAAGGGAGTCTCACAATGCACTTATTGACAGTAAAGACATCTTTTCCTTTAGTTTGAGCAATACAGGTACGTGGGAGGAGAAAAGGGATGGTGGGAAGATGATCGATGACTCAAAAGTTCTTTACAAGATGTATTCCCTGGGACTTAGGTTCTTGAATCTTTATAAAGATGAAGACTTCACAAATACAAGCTTGAGTTACATATTTCAGTTGTATCATCTGGGATTTAATCTCTTGCGAAGGTTAATAGATTGTGTGCCATCTGTGATATCTAACTTTCTATCACATTGATCTGAGGTGGCTGGATCTTGTTACTTAAAATAGACAGTAACTTTTGGAAAATACAATGATAATTTTACTTCTTTAAATGTGACTTTAGGAGAAGACCAGGTTCAAGAGCATCTAAGGAATCTGAAGGTGCACAAGTTAGTGGGACCTGATGAGATTCATCCATGGGTCCTGAGGGAACTGGTGGATGAAGTTGCTAAGCCACTGTCCATCATGTTTGAGAAGTCACGGCAGTCCAGTGAAGTTCCTGAAGACCTGGAGAACTACAGGCTGGCCAGTCTCACCTCTGTGCCCAGCAAGCTCATGGAGCAGAATCTCCTGGAAACCATGCTAAGGCCCATGGAAAATAAGGAGGTGATCAGTGACAGCCAAAATGGCTTCACTAAGGGTAAATCATGCCTGACAAATTTGTTGGTCTTCTATGATGGCGTTACAGTGCTGGTGGATGAGGGAAGAGCAACTGACATCATCAACCTGGACTTGTGCAAAGCATTTGACACTAGCCCTCATGACATCCTTGTCTCTAAATTGGAGAGACGTGAATTTGACAGATGGATCACTCGGCGGACAAAGAATTGGCTGGATAGTCACACTCAAAGAATTGCAGTCAACGGCTCAATGTCCAAGTGGAGACCAGTGACAAGTGGCGTTCCTTGGGGGTCGGTACTGGGGCCAATGTTGTTTAACATCTTTGTCACTGACATGGACAGTGGGACTGAACGCACTCTCAGCAAGTTTGCTGACAACACCAAGCTGTGTGGTGCAGTTGACACGCTGGAGGGAAGGTGTTTAAGGCCAGGTTGGATGGGGTTTTGAGTAACCTAGTCTAGTGGAAGGCGTGCCTGCTCATGGCAGGGGCATTGGAACTGGGTGATCTTCAAGGTCCCTGCTAACTCTAACCATTCTATGATTCTGTGACTCTGAATACATGTTACTCTTCACTGGAATCTCTCCAAAGTCTTGTGGAGAAGCATAAACTCTGACCAACCAGATTTTTTGGCAAATACTGAAATATGGCTGTTTTCCAGGTGCCTATAAGAGATACAAAATGTATGACTTCAACAACAGGAATCGTGAAAAGGAATTTCTAAAACCCAGCTTTTTGAAACATTTGCTTCAGTGTGTCTTTCAGAAGTGAAGAAGGAAGACAGCAATTCTTTGCAAGATTTGGAAGTCGGTATCCGTTCCTTAAGATACAATGAAAGCACAAGAACTTCAAATCACATGCCAATCTGCAAAAACCACACAGGAATTTGATACAGAATTGCATCAAATTGACCCCAATCCAGGTATTTGTTAGAAGATAGAGTTAAAAGAAGCATTACAATGGATGCAGTCTGAAACCTATTAGCTTGAGAAGCAAACTTCAAATTGTTATTGAGTATGGTTCTGTAGTGTTAACCAGGCAACAGGAAAAAAACCCAACAAGTTAAATAGAACATTTGCATGATACTGATGTGTTCTCAAACTGCAAATGACATTTGGGACAGAAATACTTTTGCAAGCTGCAGAATCACTAGGCCTTCTTTCAAACACTGGTTTCTATAAATGTTCCTTCTGCCTGGCAAAGCTACATCTGTTTGAAAGCACTCTTGACTAAGTGTTGTCCTAGTTAGATATCTTTCCAAGAACTTTCCAATATCATAATTCAGCAATTCAAATGTGAACATTTAAAACCTGGCCTAATTTTATAGGAATATTTTGTAGCAGCATTGAAACATTAATGAGGTTTTATAGCAAAGTAACAGTAATAAAGTCTAAGCTTTTCTGAAAATAGTTGGACAAATCACATAAAAATGCAGTTACAAGGTTAAGATGCTAATATTGTAAAACTTGAGTTGGAGAGGTCTTTCTCATTCTCATGTGTACCTGGTGGAGTATCAGATATTCAAACACGAAACAGGTTCCTTCATTCAGTGTTCAGAGGCACACAAAGTGCATTGCAAAGTTTATCAATGGCTAAGCAATCCAAATTGACTAGGATAGCTCTGAAAGTTTGAACCTTGTCCTGGCATCACAAAGAAAATCTGGATGCTATTGTCTTTTTTGAAGAGCAGAGGGGCACGGTTACAACGCGCCAAAGGGATGTTTATACTGCATAATACAACAAAGGGATTTTCCTTCCTGTTAAGTTGCTGATCCAGGTGTATACCTGCAACAAAGACTTGTCTCACATCATTTAATGCTTGCAGTTGATCTTACAGTAGAAGACAAGGGTAGGATAGGAACCGTGATCTAATCTCTTGAAGGTTTTTCTTTTATTAAAATACTATTTTGACAGGTGGATATCGTATACAACAGCTTTGGTTTGGAGTCATCTTGACAAGAGCTGTCTAGCCTATGCCTCAGTCTGATATGGAAGTTTTTTCTCAAGAAAACATCTCAATGTGAAAAGGAATCTTGGCTGGTGAAGACTCCAGGCCTCACTCTGCAAGTAGTACTTGTGTTAAAATGTAGCTTTAAAAACTTGATGTTTAGAAGCAAAACACTTCCTTCAAACAGTAGAATCAAACCCCGCAATGCCTAGGGACTTGTTCTTGCCTCCACTGAACCCAAAGCCAAAGCTTTCAGTGAGAAAAGGCTTATCATAAGTGAATGACTGTCATTTATTGTGTATATATTGGAGCACAAACATCTAAAGTCAGCCCTAAAATTTTCCTTTCCAAAAGTTTTACGGAATTGTTTCATTGCTCTGCAAACAGCAGACAGACACTATCACTTCCCATCTTATTTTTTATTTATTTTTTGAACAAGTGTGTTCTTCATGAAGACAAATCATCAAAAGGCCATTGACAGAGATGTCCCTGTTCTTTCAGTCAGTATTTACTTTTGTCTAGCAAGCTGATAGTGAGAGAGATTTAATACTGCTAGTATTAAATCTAAGATAAGTGTTCAGAGTAAAAAAGCTTGCACAGACACACTTTAGTTCTCAAGGCAAATACTAGAAAACATATTGGGATATTGCAATAGTGCAAGGCATATGCAATCTCCTGCATACTATAGGCACATACGGTATGCAAGAGGAGTCCTAAATAAGGTCATAAACTAAAAGAAAAAGCAGCTGCAGAGTATTTGAGTACGCCTGCACTGATTCAGTGTATGTTTCAATGGCCAGGACCTCAGCAGATACTAAAGCTTCCCTGCCTGATCACACCTCCCAGGCTATGATGTGGAAGTGAAAAATTCTCACCTGCCCACTCCTGCAAATGTATCTCTTTTAGTATGATCTATAATACCCAAGCTCGGGCAATGAAAAGCAAAAAGAACTTAAGGAGGATATTTTTTCTTCTTTTTTCCTCTGCATCAGGAGAGTTCCAACCTGGAAGAACTGTTAAAATTACATAAAGTTCACAGCCTGAATGGTAGTTTGAAATCTATCTCTGCACAATTTTCAAGAGAGCTTTTTCCTTAAAAAAAGACACGTGAACACATTTATCCAAAACAGCAGGGTCTGAGAAAAGAAGTAAATTGAACTTTGCAATATTTCTTACCATGATACCAGTGTGAATCATTATGTAATGCACAGTTTGAGTAACATCAGCTGCATGGATCAAATTGTGATACGGATTTTTGTATTTGCTGTAACCAACTTCAAGAGCTTCAGCAAATGAAATAAGGTTGGGAACAGGAATCTGGGGGGAAAACAAAAATTAAAATAAATGTTTTTTTCCTGCAACTGCTGCAAAATTAATCATTTAATAAATGAACCACAAATAAATATACCATAGAGTTTAATTAACAAACAACAAAAGAAAAATTTAAAATGTAAAGATCTAATATCTTACATGAATCAGGTGGTCTTCACCCAGTTCTTGTAGATGTTATATCCCTCTACATACACCATGCACAGCATATGGTAAGTGTAGAAGAGACTGCAGAGCTATCGATCAAATAGTTTTCAAGACACATCTGTCTGTACCAGGAATGCATAGATTGCTCATATAATAAAGGCATCACAGATAGGAGTCTAACAACAGGATTATCTCCTTTTCTTCACCAGTTTTGCCTTGCCTGAGACAACGTTTCCTTGAATCTGATAGTACGATTTCACTTCCTTCTCTTCTTCCAGGCAATGTATGAAGTAAAGGTACTATCTAGTCCCATTTATTTTCCCATATAACAAAATGACATTTTTCTTCAGATTTTTTACTTTATTTAAAAGCCCTGCAAGATAAGCAGTGGGACTGAGAATGGGCTTAAGCCCACTGATCCAATAATACTGTGTACTTTCTGACTGTGTTGCTAATGGTAGCCCTGGTGTGGTTCTGACTTCAAGCACCCAGAACTTGAAGGGAAAATCTTGATGGGAAAAGCTGAGTCTGGGTTGTTGGTTAAAATGTAAATATTCAAACCAATTTCAGAGTGAGGCAGGCTCTTTAAAAGGAGCATGGAGTTTTGCAGTGGAGAGATTTTGAAATGATAATGAAACTTTCATTCAGTACTATTATCATGATAAATTTGGCATCTCAATCCATTTTTTATCTCAGCCTTTCAAAATTGGTTTTAAGTACTCCATATTGTATTGCAACACCCTGCAAACACCCTGGAAAAGCAGCCTTCTCTTTATACATCCTCCAAGTTGGTTAGGAGAGGAAGGTTCAGCTGAAACCCCTGCACAGTGGTGGGTAACATACTATGGTCTAGACCATGAAAAAAGTATTTAGGAATAACTAAAGTTTTCTGCTTTATTAAGAATCTTTGTTCCATAAAGCTGGGACACTGATTCGGTACTGCTGAGCAAATAGGCTGTATATATAACCTGTTTATTTAATGCTTACAGCATTTAGCTGCTCACTAGCAACATCCCATCCCAAACTGACTTGAAATGCCTCTACACAGCTTTCCATTTTTTGGTTTGCAAAAAAATTTGCATGCTCTGGGTGAAGTTCCATTTGGTATAACTATTGGCATATCACAATGTTTGATTTGCCATATTCTTTGAAATTCTGCACTGCACTGTACAATAAAAAACGATCTCAAACATACCCTGGCTTTCTTGTATTTTAAATTTGACATACTTATTTTCACATACATATTTTTATTTGTGGCTAGTTTCTGACCTTGAAACGGCTCAAAAGGTCATATCGGGTAAACAGCTCATACATCATAAATTTCAGACTGTGCTCTCCACTTGCTTCATTTAGGGCAAATACATCAAAAGACCATTTATCAACATCCTGTAGATGAGGGGAAAAGAAAAAAAAAAAACATAAAATTTCCATCTGTTTAAGTAGGTTTCCTGTTAATCAGTGGAAAAGATATTTTGGGTTTTTTTGGAGAGAAGGGTGAGAGTTTGGTGTTTTTTATTGTCCAACTCCTTTAAGCACCTACTATAGATAACACATCAATGACTATTTCAATATTAAGGATGAAAATAGTTGTGTCAGTTACGAGTCAAATACTTGTAACATGACCTATGCAACTTTGTATGCTTCAAATCAAAGGTCTTAATCTTTCAAATTTAACTTTCTGCATACAAAATGTCTCTAGAACCTCGTGGAGCTAATGTGAATACCCATCCTTTAGATAGGCTATTATGAAATGTCATTAACACGATGATAGCCATATGGCAATTTGAGAATAATATAACAATGTTTGACCTTCAGAGAAAAAGGTGAGGTACTACATTCTCAAGAAATACCATTTTTGACTGCATACATAGCCATAGAAACTTTAGTTCTATAAAAGATAGTCTTCTGGGTGAACTACAGTAATGCCTTAAATTCACAGCAAATACTGTACTTGTTCCATAAGCTGCAGCTTCTTTTGTTAGCTCTATCCCAATACTACTTCTCCTTTTTCTTTCCTAAAAAGGAAACAAATGTTGCTGTCTGAGACACCGATTATCATACCACAGGGAGCTGATAAAACCATGTCTCACATTACTATAAAAATTTCTATACAAATTTCATCCTATTGCTTTAATAACATCTAAATGAAATCACAACTAATCAGTGAAACAATAAACAGAATCATATTCTATTTGTGAATTTTTACTATTAATTTCTCTGTTCTGTGTCCTTATTTCTGTAGTACTAACTATGGCTAGGGTAGGTTCAGTAGAAAAATATATTCATTTCACCCTAAAAGTCACTAAACGTAAGTACAAATACATTCAAATTCCACAATGATTAAACTTATTTTACCTTAAATGTTACTATCACTTCTGCTGGGTAAGCCAAACCAACCATGCTAGAAGTTCTTCGGTACATCCTAAAAGAACAAGTAAAATATTAAGGAATAGCACTCCTTTAAAAAGTACTGGAACAATTTTTCTTTTTGTAATTCATCTTTCACAGTTTGTGAAATAACAGTGAGCTATTTAAGGGTCTGATCCCAAAGATGACATAAGTCTTTTTATGAACTTATGAGAAAAGCCCATCTGCTGGTATATAACTCTTTTACATTAGTGCAATCTTTGGAATATTTTACTGTAGAAGTTTCAAAGCCATAAAGTTCATTCCCAGAATCTTCCAAAGCCCAGGAAATTTCATTACAAATTTAGAGGTTTCATATGGATTTCTGTATAGAAAAATAGAGCAATTGCAGAAATTGAAACCTAAATTTTGGCTCAAAGATTTGCTTCAGGTTCATCCGACCACTTAAGGGATCTTCAGTGACAGACACTGTGGTTAAATGCAGTACTTGCTGTAATAAGAAAATAAAGCCCTCACCTTTCTACAAAAATCCCAGCCTGTACAGCGTGGACAATGCTTCGGAATTTGGGCTTTTCTTCAGGTCTCCTCTTCACTATTCCCATTTCCCTGGTGAATGTAGAAGCTAACCAGTCCCGCACTTCCAGCGGGACCGAATCCGACTGGATGTCAGAGAGCTCATCCTCAGTGTCCAAAAGCTTCCTACAAAAAAATTAATACAAGGTAACCAAGAAGATAGCAGACTGAAGCAAAAGGAGTATGGACAGGCGAACAGCTAACAAAACTTAATTTAACAAGAGCAGGGGCCATCTGTAGAATTGACTCAGCACATCACTAAATGTCTTTTCTAGTAGACATACTGAGGCCACTGGGAAGCTGGGCACAGCAGGTATCTTCCCTCTCCCCTGCTGCTCACATTCCAGAAGGTAAAAGATACTCAAATACAAGATATTCAAGTAAAGGCAAGTGAAGATTTTTCTACAAAGATGTCACAGCTTTGGTGGATTGGAATGTAATCAATAGGTTATAAAATCTTGAGGAGACATCTAAAACAGTGGCTGACATGAACATCTACAGAAAGAGGGGTTGCTGCTATAACTGAGAACACCAGTGATCCACCTGATCTGTCCTCCAAAATGGGACAAAAAATGTTTTGATACTTACATGCAAACTAAATGGTATTACATAGCAATGCTACGGTGAATGTATATACCCTGTATAAATGATCATCGTGTTATTCCAGTGAAATAAATGTATTAAAGAGAACTACTTCCTTCCATATGGAGATCTGTATTCCTGTTGAAGGCAGGGTAACAAAATCATAGCACTAAAGATAATATACAAGATTGGATTGCAAGTCAGCTTTCACAGTTCTTAGTTGTTCAAAAAGTTAGAAAAGTTATGTATACCTCCTGCAAAATAGAAAAAGTATTAAAATGAAACTTCAACAAAAATGAATTGGAGGACATACAGTTCATTTAGAAGAAACGTGTAACTAAATATTCTTTTAAAACAGACTCAACACTTCAATTCTGCCCTTCTATAAACGTAGCAGATGTAGGAACACAACCTTTTTCTTGATGTTATTTGCCCATATTACTCAGTCTGCTGGGGTTTTCCAAGAACCAAATCCCTTATTTAGTCAGATAACAAGTTCTCCTTCATGCAATTATGCAAGAAACCCCAGAGTTAGGATGACCCGAACATATGTAAAGCATGCCACCCTTTTAAAATGTTTCATTAAAAGTGGTACCAATTGAATTGCAGGCATTATTTGATTACATAGATCTGTCTTTCCGAAACTGCTCAAGTTTGCGTTAATTGGACACAAAGCAATGATGGACAAAGTATTCTGGAGTGTGATTTTCTCATCAGGCAATCTGCTTGTCAAATTAAAACTTCTCCTGAGTGAAGATGATCCCTGAGAAATATATTTGGTGGGAATTCGGCTAGCAGCATTTGCAGATGGGTATTTGGGAGAGGAAAATTTTCCCTCCTTTTCCATTTTCATGTTATCACCTCTGCCACTGTCTTTTCTTTCTACTCTTAACTCTACTTTTCCCCCTATTTGTGCACGTTCTCATATTTATTCAGCATCTCTTTCACACCTTTTACTTTCTATTTCTCTTCTTCAACATTTTCAAAACCTTGCCTAATCCAGATCTTCTCTGGCATATAGAGGAATCGAGCAGCAACATGGATGATGAAGAAAAGCCTGAATACAGTACAGTTCAAAGGAATCCCCACATAAATCTGATACTATCTGAAGGATTATAAGAAGATGCCTAGTAGGAAGCAGGATGCCAGAAGTGCCATATAAATTATTGGTGAACAGTGAATGTAGTATATTTGTGCTCATCTGCCCCGTTCTCAGTTTCAGCAGCTCATCTGGCTGGCAGCATATTTTGTGAGACTTTTCAATTGGGGTTTAAAAAAAAATTCCATAAAATGCCCCCAACACTATCACTGTTTACTGAAAGAAGAGCAGAAACATTCCTATTTTTTAGACACATAGAATTATCAGACTAGGCTTTTTAACACAGAGCGCAAGCTGAGCAGAATGGACAAGAACGATGAGATTTTCTGACAGTGGGACACAGGCCAAAAGTTGGTAATTTATTTTGGAGGAGAGGGACTTGTGTAAAGGAAAGGATCTGGGCAAATTATCTGTCTTGCAAAACTAAACCAAGGCTGAGACTGGCCGTAGGTCAAAGGCTATAGATTGATTTTATTCCCTAAATTAAAAACTATGTTATAGTCCACTTAAATTGCTACTAGTCTAACACTGTTATTAAATATCCCTGGTGAGATCAGAACATTTATATTTCTGAGGATATTTGACATTTGATGTATTTGTGGTATTATCAGGAATAAACCTTATAATCCCTAAAACATATTGTTGTAACTATTCCAACTGTCACCCAAATGAGATGAAATTATTCCAGTGATAAAAGGACCATGAGCATTAGGCTGCCTCAGAGCACACAGCAGGGATATTCCACATCACCTGTGCCGCATGAAGCAGAGCTCTACATCAGTTTGCTATAGTCTGATGCAGGTCTAAATTCGGGAACAAGTCCTGAGCTCTGCAGATATGAGCTGCTGGAATACAAATTAAGGCTAGCAAGACACACCGCAGTTTCTCTAATCTTTTTAACCATTCATTTGTAAAACAGGAGGACTGTTCAGCCTGTAAACGACAGTAATGGGAGTTACTTTATGAGGACAGAACAGAGAAAACAGAATTTGAAAAAAGTGTTTATTTAATAAGTAATTTTCATGAGACCACTGCTCTCTGATGAGATGTGACTGAACAATGTGCTATGGGAGAGAGAGAATTTCAGTGTCTCTGGTTTCTACTTAAGTAACTGGGAAAGCAACTGCAACATAGAATTATGTTGTAAGCACAATCCTTTGCAAGGATTTGGAACCTTAGTAACTTCTCAAAAATAATTAGTTTCTTTCAGAAGCCTAACTGAAACAACATTTAAGGAAAGGAAACAAGGGCTAGTCATTCATCTCGTAACTCTATTTTCTACACTTTCTTGACCTTTTGAAGAGCAAGATTCATATTGAGGAAAATTACTCATGACATATGCATTGCTAGAAATGGCCTTTGAATAAATTTGCTAATGACTGCCATTCTTCTGTAATTACAAGGAAAGGATAATACATGGGTCTACACAGCTGAATAAATGGATCATTAGACTGATATATAATTTGATGGTAATTTTATTTAGGATGGGAAATAAATTAGGCTATATATTACACCATACTAACTATGCTTAATTATCACAAATTCTTAAAATCCAATATTCAACTTATTTCATAGTTTGCAACTTTTGTCAACTTTTATTCATCTATTTATACCTTGCTTATGAAATATACTATTTCCATTATATTTCCATGGGTGTGCATACATAGGTATACATACACAATATTGTGGATTCTGTGAAATAGGTCTAATTGTTTACCTTTTACCTGCTGATTGTGAAAACACTTCTTTAAAATAACCCAAATAAAGCAAATTTATATGTTGAGACATAAAAACATCAAATTATTTTATCAATAATTTTACTTACTATCTACAAAATGCACATATATATATAAATTTTACTAAATGTAACAAAAAGAACCTTTAGCAGAAGTATCAGAACTTGTACACATTAACCAGAAGTACCAACAGTACTTGAGCACTTACAATAGAATAATAGCCAAAATTTTCTTTTCCACCCAACGAGAACCACGTTTTGACTGACCATCACTATATTTTTTACAGGGATCTTGATCTTCTTATGTCGAACCATTTTGCAGCTTGTTTGCTGGCCCCTACTCTATTGATGCACACCACTGCAGTGAATGCATCAAGTAAATCTCAGAGCCCCTATGTGCCTGTTCTTCTTGCTGTTACTACTTCTGTTGCCCAGAACCTAACTGCAACAAGGCTGACTCCTTGAGCAGATGCATTATAATGTCACACTGATGCAATCACTGAGCATTATAACATCATCATTTCTTTGGATAAATTCTACATCACAACATTGTTTATAATTACTGGGGAAAAACAGAACAGTCTGAAGTGTATATTCAGAACATTTTTATTCCTGAGTGTTTATATCACTGCTATTTTAATTTTTATCCACTTAGAACTTTCAAAAGCTTCAGCAAAATCAGTGAATCAATAGGAGGTTATTGGTGTATGGGTTTACCTAATGAAAGTTATTATTGCCCAGGTAAATGGAAAATATATTTATAAATTCTGCATTCTGTAATTCTACTGTTATGTAGACTTCTTGCTCTAACTTACCACTTCATGAATCACAGGTGAGTAGGTATATTATTATTATAGGTGATTATTCAGGATGCTTTTAAATTAAAAAAAAAAAAAAAAAAAAAGTAGGGGGAAAGGTAAAATAGTGCCAGAAGACAGGGTCAAAACAAAGACAAACATACAGTTTGTCTTTCAGTTCAGTTAAACTACTGAACTTCCTGCCAAATATTAAAGGTATTTTTTGCAAGATTTTGCAATATAATTTGTAATTGTAAATTGTAAAATGTAATTTGTAAATTGTTATATAATTTTGCAACATTTTGCAATATGTAAACTTTTAGATGGGTTCAGAAATGTCACTGGATAAATTAACAAGCAAAATAACAAGTGACCATAGCTGTCAAACTCAAGGCTAGGACCTCTAACTTAGAAAATATTTGTAGTGGAGTGACTGAAAGATCCATAGCTTCATACTCCAAAGCGACCACACTAAAGGTCAGAGATGGCAGGCATTTACTTTCTATTTTAAAGCTATATAGTCCTTCCACAAAGCCAGCTTTAAAGTACAACTATACAGAGACCAATCCCATTCAATTGGGAGGCATGAACTCCAACATCTTAGTTGAATTAAATAAATGTTAATATACTGAGGCACACACTTTATTTCTTTCTTCCATAAAGCTAAGAATCACCTAAAAACGCTATTAAACAAAACAAAAAAGCTGTAACACCATGCATGTGCCCCAGAAAGTACTTTTTTTCAACACAAAATCAGAATTTCAGGATTACATACACTTATTTTGCTCATATATCATTAGCGTATTAAACAGATGCAATACGAGGAAGAGATATGCGTGGGAAGAAGAGGGGGAGGCTTGGGTTATTTAATTCTATTCATTCCATGACTGGAACTCCTATTGACAGTTCTGGG